CCCAGGTTCCAGAACCAAATTTATAGAAAAAGGTGTCAGGCTCAGCCATCTGCTGACCCAAGCACCAGAGCAGCCTGTCCAAGGACTGCAGCAGCAATCCTGCCAAAGGACCACGACAGTCAACCTGCTCAGAATTTCTGGATGCACTGTGTGGTGAACGTCTTTCTCAGATGAAGCCAGTCCGCAAAGGCTGTAAGAAGTTTCTAAATCTTCAAATGCACAGATATCAATGGAAGACAATAAGAAACATTTAAAAAAAATTTTATCCCAGAAAAAGAACACAATATTTCCTAGTAGCTGACTGCCAAAAAATAGACATATATGAATTGCCTGACAAAGAATCCCAAGTAATTATTTTAAGGAAGCTCAGTGAATTTCAAGAAAATAAGGAAACAATTCAATGAAATCTAGAAAACAACACCCCATATGAGTGCCAGTTCAAGTCCTGGCTGTTCCATTTCTGACTCAGCCCCCTGCTAATGGCCTGGGAAAAGCACTGGAAGATGGACCAAGTGATTCGACCTCTGAACCCAGGTGGGAGATGGTGATGAAGCTCCAGGCTCCTGACTTTGGTCAGGCCCAGCCTTGGTTGTTGCAGCCATGTAGGGAGTGAACCAGCAAATGGGCCTGTGTGTGTGTGTGTGTGTGTGTGTGTGTATCACTCTGCCTTTCAAATAAATAAAATAAATGTTTATAAAAAAATTGATGAAGCTTTAGGTAGATGAGAAAAAAGGAAAGAAGACTCAAATAAATAAAATCAGAAATGAAATAACAGACCTTGAAACTACTACCACAGAAATATAAAGAATAGTAACAGACTTGTGTGAATAATTATACAGCAACATAATTGGATAGCCTAGAGGAAGTCAAAAAATTACTAAATGCCTGTAACCTATCAAGACTGAATCGAGAGAAAATCTGAACAAACCAACAACTAGGAGATTGAATCATTAAAAACCAAAACAATAAAAAAAAAAAAAAACCTTCTCAACAAAAGTTCAGGATCTGATAACATCTCTGCTGAATGCTAGCAGATATTCCAAGAAGAATTAATGAAAATCCAGCCTAAGTTTCCACAAAATCAAAGAAGGAATATTTCCAAATTTATTTTATGAAGCCAGAATTACCTTGACACCAAAACCAGAGAAGCGTACTACATGAAAAAAAATGCATACTATTGCATATCTAAAAATATGATAAATGTCATTAAAAGAAGGATAGGTAAAAACTATATAATCATCTCAAAAGATGAAAAAAAAGTATTTTTAAAAGTTCAACATCATACTCAATGGTGAAAAGTTGAATGATCTCTAAAATCAGGAAGAAGTATATCCACTCACGGGGCTGGCGCTGTGGCACAGAGGGTTAATGCCCTGGCCTGAAGTGCTGGCATCCCATTTGGGCACCAGTTCTAGTCCTGGCTGCTCCACTTCTGATCTAGCTCTCTGCTATGGCCTGGGAAAGCAGTAGAAGATGGCCCAGGTCCGTGGGCCCCTGCATCCACACTGGAGACCTGGAAGAAGCTCCTGGCTCCTGCCTTCAGACTGGCACAGCTCTGGCCGTTGCGGCCAATTGGAGAATGAACCAGCGGACGGACGATCTCTCTCTCTCTCTCTCTCTCTCTCTCTCTCTACCTCTCCTCCCTCTGTATGACTCTTTTAAATAAATAAATCTTTATTAAAAAAATATCTACTCTTATCACTTCTCTTCAACATTACTGGCAATCTTAGCCTAAACAACTAGGCAAGAGAAAGAAAAAGGATTCAAATTGGAAAAGAAGTTAAATTGTCCCTACTTGCAGGTGGCATGATCTTATTTACAAAATCCATAAAGCTCCTTCAAAACTCTATTAGAACAAAAAATTTAGAAAAGTTGCTGGATACAAAATCAACAAGATAGAAAAATCATCAGCTTTCCTATATACCAACAATGAAAATCAAAACAGAAATCAAGACAACAATCCCATTTACAATATCTATAAAAAAGAATAAAATATTCAGTAGTACATTTCTCAAAGGAGATTAAAAAAACTTGAAAACTATAAAACATTCATGAAATAAAATGGAGAAAATACAAATAAATGGAAAGATATCTTATATGCATGGATTGAAAGAATTAATATTGCTACAATGTCCATGCTTGGGCCCACATTGTAGTGTGGCAGGTTAGCCGCTGCCTGCAATGCTGGCATCCCATACTGAAGCACCTATTCAAAACCCACTGCCAATCTAGCTCCCTGCCAATACCACTCAGAAAAGGCACAGAAAGATGACCCAAAGATGGCCCAAGTACTTGGGCCCCTGCCATCCATGTGGGATGCCCAGTTGCAGTTCCAGTATCCTGGCTGTGACCTGGCATGATCTTGGCCACTGTGGCCATTTGGGGAATAAACCCGCAGGTGGAAGATGGATCTCTCTCTCTCTCTCTCTCTCTCCTTTTCTCCCTCCCCCTGACTTTCAAAGAAATAAATAAATCTCTTAAAAAAAAAAAAAAGTCTGGGCCGGCACCGTGGCTCACTAGGCTAATCCTCCGCCTTGCGGTGCCAGCACACCAGGTTCTAGTCCTGGTAGGGGCGCCGGATTCTGTCCCAGTTGCCCCTCTTCCAGGCCAGCTCTCTGCTGTGGCCAGGGAGTGCAGTGGAGGATGGCCCAAGTGCTTGGGCCCTGCACCCCATGGGAGACCAGGATAAGTACCTGGCTCCTGCCATCAGAAAAAAAAAAAAAAAAAAAAGTCTATGCTACCCAAAGCAATGGGCAGGTTCAATGCAACCCTTACCAAAATTCCAAAGAAAATTTTTATAGAAATACAGGAAAAAAAAATTTAAAATTCATATGGAACCACAAAAGACCCTGAATAGCTAAATCAGTCTTGACCAAGAAGAGCAAAACTGGAGATAGCACACACACTATTTGACTTTAAAATATATTACAAAGTTACAATAATTAAAACAGAATCACAGTAGCATAAAAACAGGTCCATGCACCAACAGAATAGAACAAACAGCTCAGAAATAAATGTACACATTTATGGTCAATTGATTTCTGGCAGAGGTACCAATAACACACAATGAAGAAAGGACAATCTTTTTAATAAATGGTGCTAGGGAAACTGAATATTCATAGGAAAAGAATGAAATTAGACCATTATTTTGTACCATACACAAAAATCAACTGAAGTGTATGAGCTAAAACTGCCGGAAAAGAACATAGGGAAAATCACTATGACATTGATCTGGGCCAGAATTCATAGATTTAACCACAAATTGCATACAACAAAAGCCAAATACACAAATGGGCTTACGTCAAACTAAAAAGCTTCTGCATAGCCAAGGAAACATTAACAGAAAGTAAATATCACATGGAACAGAAGAAAATATTCAGAAACCATGTATCTGACAAGGTATTGGTATCCACAGATATGGAACTTGAACAATTCGAAAGGAAGAAATCAAATAATCAGATTAACAAATAGGTAAAAGATCTAACTAAATATTCCTCAAAAGAAGACATACAAATGACTAACATGCACACAAAAATTGCCTAAAAATACTAATCATAAGAGAGACATAAATTAAAACTACAATGAGATATCACCTCACACCTGTCAGAATGGCTATCATAAAACGAAGATAAGGAACACTGGCAAGGGGCTGGTGCTGTGGTGTAGCTGGTTAAGCATCTGCCTGTGGCACCAGAATCCCACATGGGAGCCAGTTTGAGTCCCAGCTGCTCCACTTCCAATCCAGCTCCCTGCTAATGACCTTGGAAAACAGTATAAGATGGACCAAGTGCTTGGCCCCTGCACCCACGTGGGAGACTGGAAGAAGCTCCTGGCTCTGGTTTAGCATCGGCGCAGCTCTGGCCGTTTCGGGCATCTGGGGAGTGACAGTGGAGGAAGGACCTCTCTTTCCGTCTCCCTCTCTGTCTGTAACTATGCCTCTCAAGTAAATAAATATATCTTTAAAAAAATAAAACAGGTGTCTAAAAAAAAAAAAAAGAAACATTGGCAAGTACATAGAAGAAAGAGAACCCTTGTCCATCATTTATGGGAAGATAAACCAATACAGCCTTGAGGGAAAACTGGACTAAGGCTCCCAAATAGCTAAAAAGAGAATTACCATATGACCAACAACCCCACTTCTAGGTACATACTCAAAAGATCTGAAGTCAACATACTGAATAGATGTCTGCACTTCCATGGTCATTGGAGCCCAGTTTATGGAATCAACATGTTTGTCTATCAACAGATGCACTGACAAAGACAATGTGGTACCTACACACAACGGAATACTATTTTGTCTTAATAAAAGGAAAAGAAGTTCGCTATTTGGAACATGGATGGGGTGAAAGATGATCATCACAAGGCACAAAGCCTCAGAAGGGGGAATCAGTTCATTTGTTTCAGATCTATTGTATAATGTGTTGAATAAAGCTACTAATTTAATACTGTACATTTCAATATTGCTAAGAGTAAATCTCAAATGTTCTCAATCCTTCCCAAAAAAATGACCAAAGAAGATAGTATGTCATCTATCAGTTGTACCAGGGCTTAATTTAGCACATTAAGTTAATCAGGAGAAATACTACTGATAATAAACAGAAAGAATAGTGAGATCAGTTACATTACAAGTAAACTGAGATAAAAGGAGGGTTCAAGGATTCTGTGACTCCAAAGGTACTATTTCTAAAAACTTGCATTTCTCCTAAACTGCTGATGAATCGGGATTTGACAGGATAGAGCCCCTATGCACAGTCTGTCTAGTAGGAGGGAGCTGAGGCACACAAGATAGCAGCTGGATGAAAACATGGACAAACCATGCCTACCTTGAATAATAACTTCACATTTATACCAAAGACAACCTCTTCTAACCATGCATCACTATGCTACCTAGGACCTAAAAATTAACACATGAAATATGAAAGCTATCTTAACAATTAGGTACATCAGAAATATGCAAGCTGTCTTAACAATCAGGCACATTAGAAATATCCCAATCTCACCTCTTTCTCGTGCATTCGAGAGAGAAAAGGATCTTCATGAAGACTGCTGGATTTTCTCAGGCTGAATTTGGGGGTCATCTGGTGAATGAATAAGAGCTATTTAATACATTTTTAGGCCTAGTTTATCCTTAGTCCAAAAATGAACTTTTTTTAATGATTCATTTATTTACTTGAAAAGCAGAGTTACAGAAAAAAGGAGGGAGGGAAGAAAGGAGGGAGAGGGAGAGAGAGAGAGGAGAGAGAGGTCTTCCACCTGCTGGTTCACTACCCAAAATGACTGCCAATTGCCAGGACTGAGCCAGGCCTAAGCCAGGAGCCGGGAACTCCTTCCTGGTCTCCCACATGGTGCAGGGGCCAAGTACTTGAGCCATCTTCCCCTGCTTTCCCAGGAGCACCAGCGGGAGCTGGGCTGGAAGTGGAGCATCCAGGACAGAAACCGGTGCCCATATGGGAGCCAGATTGGAAGTGGAGCAGCTGGGACATGAACCAGAACCCATATGGGATGCTGGCATTACAGCAGCTCAACCTGCTGTGCCACCATGCTGCCCCCTCCCAAAAATGAACTTCTAAAATGCCTGAAACCCACAAAAACAATCCTCATATTGCAGGGTGGGTAGGGGCAGAGTGACTTATTCACTTCAAAGATGGCATTTTTAAAAATTATTATGCTTCACCGGCGCTGCGGCTCACTAGGCTAATCCTCCTCCTTGTGGCGCTGGTACACCGGGTTCTAGTCCCGGTCGGGGCACTGGATTCTGTCCCAGTTGCCCCTCTTCCAGGCCAGCTCTCTGCTGTGGCCAGGGAGTGCAGTGGAGGATGGCCCAAGTGCTTGGGCCCTGCACCCCATGGGAGACCAGGAGAAGTACCTGGCTCCTGCCATCAGATCAGCGCGGTGCGCCGGCCACAGCGCGCTGGCTGTGGCGGCCATTGGAGGGTGAACCAACAGCAAAGGAAGACCTTTCTCTCTGTCTCTCTCTCTCACTGTCCACTCTGCCTGTCAAAAAAAAAATTATTATGCTTCATAACATGGACCTGAAGTATTTTCTGTAAATAATGATTATTTTATTGAAAGATACCTGCTACTAGAAAAAGTCCAATGGAATTCTCACCTACCAGAGAAACAGGGATAGGCGTCTGTCTCAGGTACCGAGGATTTTCTATCTGAAAATTTTAAGATAAAATTAAAACTTAAGAATTTTGGAGTTTCAATTATTATTTGATAAAACATAGAATTAAACTGCTATATGAAAACACTTTCTATTAGTCTTAATATTTAGTTTAATTTTTAAATGTGTAACATTTTAGTAGCCCTTCAATAAATGAAATATAAAATATAAAACACAAACTCCTTTGCATGGATAAACGCACCTTCCTGATCCTCTCACCCAGTCTTTCACTACTCTTCCCCTGACCTTTCATACTCCCAGGATCTCGAATGGATCATGCTGTCAGAACACGGTAGGTCACTGCTTCTCGGCCTTTTGGCCAAGATCAAGTGTAGGACGTGGTAAGTCCTCTTGGGCATCTCTGCTTCTGCACATTCCTTTGCCCACTGCAGACATGTGCCGACTATCAGTTTCCTCACACACCCCCGTATTCGGTACATGAGTAGTTCAACATTCCTCCATAGCAGCAACAAGCATACAAGATCACTTTGAGGCCCCCTCTCCATCTGTCTTTCCAGGTTCATCTATTCCCCCAAAATACTCTGCCTCCAAGGACACCAAACAACTTGTTTTACATGGAAAGCACCACACTGTCACCCATCCTGAGTCTTCACAAACTGTGAAATCATTCTCCCAACCTCTTACTCAAAACACACAGTCCAGGAATCATCTCCCCCAGGAAACTCAGCTCCTGCCACTCCAGCAGTATTCTGGATGCCTGTCTCCTTTTTCGATCCAGCACCCATCTGTTCCAAGGATGTGGATTCTGAAAACAGAGACCATGACTGCCTCGTTCACCATTCTATCCCCGTATCTACTACAGCATCAAAACAAAACAATCACTACGAAGGAATTAAGGAACAGAAAAAGAAAAAAAAGGAACAAACTCCATCTTACCAGCTCCTAAACATCCTGTATCCACCCACCAGAGCCCTTACGTAATACTTTATTAGTATGTCTCCACACCCGTCCTTGAACTGCCTGGGTACAAGGATGATGTCTTCAATTTTGTATTCCTGGTAACTAACACAGTATCTAACACATAGCAGCCTTCCAATATTTATTGAACTAATACACATGATAAATTTGCCACATTCATTGGTGGCCCCACTATTTCATCCACACAAGATAATTTAAAATCATTACTAGGGAAGTCTAATTTCTTCAGACCATAAACTCACAATTTACTACATGTACATGGCTAACCCGCAACATACAAGAACATTATGACTTCAACCAAGGACTGTGGTTCCTTCCTGGAGGTTACCATCAGGATCAACTGATAAACCCTTTTAAATAATCACAGTGACTACGACCCAAGGACTGATGTTTCAAACCTCTTAAATAACTGAATATTAAAACTAACAAAAACATAATAAAATTTTAAAATGAAAACATGGGAAGTTTATAACATTAGTAGATTAAAATAGAAAACAATTTGATTCTCTCAAAAGATGAAAGGGTTATTCAGAAAATTCGACAACCATTTATGATTTTTTTTTTCCAAAACACCTTGCCAATAGAGCAAGAGTGTAGACTAGTAATTAAGATGCCCAGGCTCCATGGGACCAGTGCTGTAGCATAGTAGGCTAAGCATCTACCTGCAGTGCCAGCATCGCATAAATGGGCACAGGTTCCTGTCCTGGCTGCTCCTCCTCCAATCCAGCTCTCTGCTAATGGCCTTGGAAGATGGCCCAAATGCTTAGGCCCCCCTGTACCCACGTGGGAGACTGAAAAAAGCTCCTGGCTCCTAGCTTAGGATCAGCACAGCTCTGGTCATTGTGGCCATTTGGGGAGTGAACCAATTGATGGAAGACCTCTCTTATCGGTCTCTCCTTTTCTCTGTGTAAACCTGCCTCTCAAGTAAATCCTTAAAAAGATGCCTATGTCCCATGTCAGAGTACCTGGATTTCATTTCCAGTTCCAGCTCTTGACTCCAACTTCCCACCAATAAACACCTTGAGAGGCAGCAGTGATCACTCAAGTACTTGGGCTCCTACCGTACACATGAGAGACTGTATCTCTGGCTCCTGGCTTCACCCCTAACCACTATAAGCCTTTGGAAAGTGAATCAGTGCACAGGAGTATGCTTCTTTATCTTTCTCTCTCTCCTTTTCTTTGTCTGTGTCTCTCAAATAAATTTAGCAATTTTTTTTTTTTTTTGACAGGCAGAGTGGACAGTGAGAGAGAGAGACAGACAGAAAGGTCTTCCTTTGCCGTTGGTTCACCCTCCAATGGCCACCGCGGTCGGCGCGCTGCGGCCAGCGTATTGCGCTGATCCAAAGCCAGGAGCCAGGTGCTTCTCCTGGTCTCCCATGGGGTGCAGGGCCCAAGCACTTGGGCCATCCTCCACTGCACTCCCTGGCCACAGCAGAGAGCTGGCCTGGAAGAGAGGCAACCGGGACAGAATCCGGCACCCTGACCGGGACTAGAACCCGGTGTACCAGCGCCACAAGGAGGAGGATTAGCCTAGTGAGCGCAGCGCGGGCCCAAATTTAGCATTTTTTAAATAAACAAATAAATACCTTGTCAAAGATAATCTATAGCAAGCTGCTGCTTGCAACCCCAGCATCCATACCAGCACCAGTTTGAGTACCAGCTGGTCACTTCTGATCCAGCTCCCTAGTAATGCACCTGAGAAAGCAGCAGAAGTTGCCCCAAGTGCCTGGGCCCCTGCCACCAACAAGCGAGATCCAGAAGAAGCTCCTGGCTCCTGGCTTTTACCTGGTTCAGCCCTGGCCATTGTGGCCTTTTGGGAAGTAAACCACCAGATGGAAGATATCTCTCTCTCTCTCTCTCTCTCTAACTCTTTTAAATAAATAAATAAATAAAAAGAAAAAGAAGAGGAAGGAGGTGGCCTAGGACACACAAATAAATTATTATTTGAACTAATAAGAGTTTACCAAACTTTCCAGGTGCAAAATCAATATATAAAATCAACTGTTGGTAGGTGTTCAGCATAATAACTAAGATGCCCACAGCCCATCCTGGAGTGCTGTTTCATGTTCTGCCTCCTCCGTTTCCAAACCAGCTTCCTGCTCACATGCACCCTGGGAGGCAGCAGATGATGCTTCATGCACATGGGTCCTGCCACTCATATGAGATATATGGATGGATTTGTGGACTCCTGGCTTTATCCTGGCAAAGCCCCAACTGTTGTAGTCATTTGAGGAGTGAACCACCTGATGAAAGAGCTCTGTTTTCTTCCTCTCCCTCTCTGCCTTTCTTTAAAAAAAAAAAATATCTTATTTATTTATTTGAGAGGTAGACTTACAGGCAGTGAGAGGGAGAGACAGAGAGAAAGGTCTTCCTCCCGTTGGTTCATTTCCCTAATGGCCACAATAGCTGGAGCTGCGCCCATCTGAAGCCAGGAGCCAGGTGCTTCTTCCCAGTCTCCCATGCGGATGCAGGGGCCAAACACTTGGGCCATCCTCCACTTTTGCCCAGGCCATAGCAGAGAGCTGGATTGGAATAGGAGCAGCTGGGACTCCAACTGGCAGCCATATAGCACACCAGCATCACAGGCAGAGGATTAACCTACTGCACCGACCCTTCTTTCTGCCTTTCAAATACAATGAAAATAAATATGAAAAGGTGAATGATCTTTTTAAAACATCAACTATTTTTGTAAGAGCAAACCCATTTAGCAGAGAAGACTTTACAAAATATCATTTATAATAATAGAACAAAATATAATTGCTAAAGAGTATATCTAAGAAAATACGCAAACACCTTCTATGGAACAATTAAGCTTTACTGAAAGATACTAAAGATACTAAAGATTGAAATAAATCATAAAACCACATTTTCTGATAGTCTCAATATTGTAAAAAAAAATGTCAATTCACCTTCAGTTGATTGGCTAAATGTTATTCAAACCAAAATCCCACAAGATTTTGGGAAAACTTAAGTTCTTTATAAAATAATATCAATAAGTAAAGGGGCAAGAAAAGCCAAGACACAACTGCAGGAAAAAAAAATCAAGATCAGGCAATTTACAAAGACATAATTAAACTACAAAAAGGAAAATAAACTAATGGAACCAGCTAGAAAACACCAAAAACAAAACAAACAAAAAAATTCCAATATATAGCTGTTCCTGAATTTATAATAGAATGACATCCTGATAAATCCAACATAAACTGAACACACATGAAGTTAAAAACTGCAAAAATGCTACCAAACATCATAGCTCAGAGACACAGGACACTGTGAGGAACCAGCTGTTTAGCTGCATGACTGCTAACTGCCTGCAGCTCACTGCTTCTGTCTGACAACACTAAGGTCTTAGTACATATCACCAGCTCAAGACAAACCAACGTTCAAAGTATAGTATCTAGTGAACACTTACCGCTTTCCTAGCATCTTAAAGCAAAAATAACAAATAGAACCATTCTACATCGGGGACAAATGGCCTGGGGAAAGCAGAAGATGGTCCAAATGCTTAGGACCCTGCCACCCATGTGGGAAGAAGCTTCTGGCGCAGGGGCCATCTAGGGAGTGAACCAGCGGATAGAAGGTCCCTGTCTCCTCTCTCTAACTCTGACTTTCAAATAAATAAATAATTTTTTTAAAAAATGAAAAAAGAAGTCATAAATTGAGACATGCTTACAGAAATAATTAATCCCCCAAATGTATGAAGAAAGCCTTTAGAAATATCAATAAAAAAAGACAAACAATACACTAGAAAACAAATTGAGAAAACACTTGAGCACATTTCATTGATGGTGAATTATGACTGACTAATAAATATGAAAATACACTCAGTCTTCTTAGAAATACAATAAAAATAAGGTAATTCCATCAGACATTTTATAATTAAGATTGATAACATTAAAATTTGACAATAAAAACATTCAAGATGTGAACCACCTCTCTGACAGGTTAATGAATTAGTGAATTTACTGTAGGGAAAACATTCATTAAATAAAGATATTTTATTTAAATACTCTACCAGAGAAACTGGCACATTCTTTAGCAAATAATGCAGTACTA